TAGAGTTTGGTGAGATTTTTAAAAAAAGATGCGCCTGCCATTTTACGTAAGGAGTAGCTGTTCCACCAGGCCCCAGATTTCCAGGGAGTGAGAGGTAAAACTCACCTGGGTGCAGAAGGGCTTCCTGAGGGTTTGGGTGCAAAAATCTGGGCCAGGTGGCCACAACCCCGGGTGTGCCGGCCAAGTGGCCACGCTCCCACTCCAAGCCTCTCCCAGATCCTTGGGTCTGCTCCTGAGGAGGAAACGTGCCCCAGTGCCTGCTCGCCAGGTGCCCCATTGGGGCCCGTTCAGCTCCTTGGAGCTGCAGTTCTCACACCTGAAACGGAGGGGGGGGCAATTGTCTGAAGGGGAGCCCTTCTCGCCTATTTCTCGTCTTTTGAAATTCTACCTCGGGATACAAAGATTCAGAAATATGCGTTCTTGCCGAGCAGGAGGAGGACAAAATGTTCCCTTTCAGGCTCGGAGGGCTGGGGGAAACTATGCCACAGCCCTCCATCCGTAGAACAAAATGTACCGATGGTATCTTAAAGGCAAAAGAATTCAAAAAATATAAGCTACAGCCCTCGTCCCTACAGCTCCACTTCCCCGTCTTCAAGAAAAGAGAGATTTGCTGGGGTGGGGGTGGATGGATGTGGCTGGCTCACCTGGGTCATGGGAGAAAACCTCCGGTCTCAGGAAGCCAGGAAAGCTTCTTTGATTGATTGATTGATTGATTCATTGATTACCTGCTGAGGTTGTGAATCACTGCAAAAGTTACTGCCTGCCAGGCCCATTTTCATGCTGTACTACTTATACAGGCCATGATCCACTTCAACCCAGACGTATATACATCTTTCTGTCTGACATTTCTGTCCCACAGTTCTCCTCATGTTGGGACCAAAGGCAGCTTCCAAAATGTTTTAAAAGGGAACCTAAATAAAAACACAGGCCACCCTCCTGTAAAGGCAGACTTGCATACAGAAGGGGAGTAGAATGGCTTTTCTCCACCCCAACCTCACCCCACCCGCATCGACCCCCATCGACAGCCTTCCGGCATGTCACCGATCAAGTGCCACAGCTGGGCCACGAACATGTGGCTGGCAACA